ACATGTGGTGCGAACGTGAGCTCGCGTAGGCGACTTGCACGTGCAGATAGCAAACGTGTGTGTTGCATGTTTGGTTATGCGCGGCCGAATCAAAGAAACAGAGCTTGGCATCGGCTCAGGTGCTCAGGTGCTTTGCCAGTGAAGCTGCCGAGCTGCCTTACAGGCCTTTCCGGTGCAATGCAGGTAAGTGTGACGGTGTGCAAGCCGCCAATGCCCAGCGCAGCACAACCAGCAGAGTGCTTTGGAGATCCACGAAGTCTGGTCTGGTTTTTGTGCCGCAGATTTGGGTCCAGTCTCCGTTGCCATCCGTAGCATTGCCAGAGCCTCGCGATGGGCGAAGCCTCGGCATGGGAGGATCCCGACTTCCCGCCCAACCACACGTCCATCGGCTGTGCTGAGAATTCCAAGCTAATGAGGACTCCTAGCTGGGAGCCCATCACGAAGCTGTTCCCGGAGAGGCCTCTCTTCGCGGAGATCGATCCCAACGATCTACAGCAGGGGATCCTCGGGGATTGCTGGCTCATCAGTGCCTTCCAAACCATGGCAGAGTACCCGGACACCATCAAGAAGATCTTCCAGGTGCAGGAGCACCCAGCGGATGGCCAGTACGTATTGCGCCTGTATAACATCGGCAAGGAAGAGTGGCAGGATGTCAAAGTGGATGGCTACATCCCTTGCTTGGATGGGGCCCCGGCCTTTGTGAAACCCGCAGGTAAGGGTGTGTGGCTTTGCCTGGTGGAAAAGGCCTGCGCGAAGATGATGGGAAGCTATATGAAGCTGGAAGGCGGGGTTCCGGAGATTGGGTACAAGATGTTTGTAGGGCCGGGGGACTTGAGCAAAGTCGAGAAAAACTCGCAGGGCGTTTGGAAGGATAGAAGCATCAGCTCCCAGCAGCTCTTGGAGAGCGGGCAGATTAAACTGAGTGTGCAAGACATCATGAAATATGGCAGCCAGAACGATGGATATGGGGAGAAGGTGGAGAAGGACCAGCTCTTTTCCAGGATCCTCGAGTGGGACCGGAATCATTTTCTGATGTCCTGCGGCTGCCGCCCCACCGTGCCCGACCCCGACGCTCTGCGGCCTGAGGAGGTGATGTACCCCAACGGCATCGTGGCTTACCACAGCTTCGGCCTACTTGCGGCCTACGAGGGCCACGACGTGCGGCTGCTGCAGCTCAGGAATCCCTGGGGCAACCAGGTGGAGTGGAACGGCGCCTGGTGTGATGACTCTGAGCTTTGGACCCAACATCCCGAGGTGGCCAAGGATGTGAACTTCAAGCCGCGGGCGGATGGCATCTTCTGGATGAGCTTCGAGGACTGGCACCAGAACTTCGGCGACCTTTCCGTTCTGAAGCTTGAGCAGACCGGGCCCAGGGCTGCACTGATGATCCAGCCTGGGGATAACGTCCGTCAGGAGAAGGAGCGGCAGAAGAAGGAGGCGAAGGCCAAGAAGGCGGCAGAGGAGATGTATAGTAACGGAGGATGGTATGTGGGGAAGGGGCGAGACTTCATGAACAGCAAGGACATGGAGGAGGTGAGGATCTGGCACGACAAGGAGCTCTACGAGGAGGTGGTCAAGATGTGCAGCTCGCTGTGGAAGTACCCGGAGATTCAGACCCGGTGCCTGATTGACGAGCCAAGGATGAGTCTCCCGCCGGAGGTCCGGAAGTACCTCCGGGCCCGGTGGCAGCAGAAGATCGAGGAGGAGAGGGCGGGGGTGCAGGCGGAGCAAGATCCAGAGAAGGCGGAGGAAGAGGGAAAGAAGGCGCTGGAGCAGGTAGAGGCAGAGGCAAAGAAGAGGAGGGAAGAGGAAAAACAGTTGGAGGCAGAGTTGCTGGCCAAGGCCAAGCTGGAGGAACAGGCCAGGATTGAGGCGTACGATCCTAATAACTCCAGTACCGTGGGAGCTCTTGTGGCCACCTTCAAGGAACCCAAAATGCCGGCCGCGAAAGAGCAGCCCGTCTTCATGGGCGTGAAAGGCGCCAAGCTGCTAGAGGACGGCGAGTACGTCCGGTACCGAGGCATGGACGTGCCTCTGTCGTGCTTCAAGAAGGACGTGGAGGATGGGATCATCGAAGCCACCGAGCCGACAGAGCCCACGGAGCCGCAGGGAGAGGCCGTCGTCAACTCCGTCCGTGGGAAGCTAAGCCTCCGTGAGAGGCCCGAGTCCT